TTTTTGCTACCTCTAGCATACCCTCCTTCTTCATTGTATTCTACGGACTGACTTATGGCTATGACAAGTCAATAGAATGGCTCTTTGCATCTTTTTGTTCATTCTGTCAGTCAGTTTTTCTGGTGCAGCCATGTAAAATTATACTCTTGTCAGGCTTCAGAACAAATAAACCCAAGTATTGCAAAAACCTTTCGTGGTCAACCAAGTATCAATATACTGAGATCAGGCTGGATGGAACGAGTAAGCATCCGGACGAAATGCAGAGGACACATGACCAGATTGTCAGAATCCGAGGCACGAACATGTACCAACCTCTCACGGAAGATGAAATCAGAATATTCAAAAGAAAGAAGAGAGTCAGAAGAAGAGCGCTCCTGTTCCTGAGTTACATTCTAACTCATTTTATCTTTCTAGCCCTTCTGTTGGTCCTTATCGTCCTGCTATGTCACACTGACAGCTTCCACTATAACCAGTTTATCCGTGATCGCTTCTCTGTTGATCTTGCTACTGTGACTAACCTGGAAGACATCTACAGATGGCTGAACAGCGTGCTGTTGCCTTTGTTACACAATGACCTGAATCCAACATTTCTTCCTGAAAGCTCATCTAAAATCCTTGGCCTTCCATTGATGAGGCAAGTGAGAGCAAAATCTAGTGAAAAAATGTGTCTACCTGCCGAAAAGTTTGTGCAAAGCAGTATCAGAGGAGAAATTCATTGTCATCCCACATATGGCATTGACCCAGAAGACACAAAAAACTATTCTGGCTTTTGGAATGAAGTTGATCAGCAGGCTATAGACGAGAGTATCAGTGGATTTACCTATAAGCCTCAAGGAAAGCAATGGCTGTATTATTCCTATGGACTACGACACACCTATGGATCTGGAGGCTATGCATTCTATTTTTTTCCAGAACGGCAGCGGTTTAATTCCACACTGAGGCTCAAAGAACTTCAAGAAAGCAATTGGCTTGATGAGAAGACGTGGGCTGTGGTTTTGGAATTAACGACTTTTAATCCAGACGTAAATCTATTCTGCAGCATTTCAGTCGTATTTGAGGTCTCTCAGTTAGGGGTTGTCAACACAAGCATATCTCTACACTCCTTTTCACTTGCTGATTTCGACAGGAAAACTTCAGCAGAAATCTACTTATACGTGGCCATTCTCATTTTTTTCTTAGCCTACGTTGTCGATGAGGGTTATATCATTATGCAAGAAAGAGCCTCCTATGTAAGAAGTGTGTATAATTTGCTCAACTTTGCTTTAAAGTGCCTATTTACCGTGTTGATTGTGCTGTTTTTCAGGAAACATTTCCTGGCCACTGGCATAATTCAGTTTTACTCGTCGAACCCTGAAGACTTCATTCCCTTTCATGCGGTTTCTCACGTAGATCACATCATGAGGATAATTTTGGGTTTCCTGTTATTTCTGACGATTTTGAAGACCCTCAGGTATTCCAGATTCTTCTATGATGTGCGCCTGGCTCAGAGGGCCATCCAGGCTGCCCTCCCCGGCATCTGCCACATGGCATTTGTTGTGTCTGTGTACTTCTTCGTATTCATGGCTTTTGGTCACCTGGTGTTTGGTCAGCATGAATGGAATTACAGTAACTTGATTCATTCCACTCAGACAATATTTTCCTATTGTGTGTCAGCTTTCCACAACACTGAATTTTCCAGTAACAGGATTCTGGGGGTCCTGTTCCTCTCATCGTTCGTGCTGGTGATGATTTGCGTCTTGATCAACTTATTTCAGGCTATAATTCTGTCTGCCTATGAGGAAATGAAGCAGCCCGTGTATGAGGAGCCCTCAGAGGAAGTGGAAGCAATGACATATTTATGCCGTAAACTGAGAACCACATTCAGCTTTCTGACCTCCCAATCTAAGGCCAAAGACGAGCCTGAGTTCTTTACTGACATGCTGTATGGGCAGCCGGAGAAGAACAGCCGCCGTTTTCTGGGGTTGAAGACTAGAAACATCAATGGGAAGAAAATGGTTTACCTTGTTGTTTGATGAATTATGATTTCAAGAGTCACAAGCAAGCGTTTCCCCAAATGCTGAGCCTATGGGATGAAGGGGATTGGGAAGTGTTAGTGGCTTCATCATGCTTTCTGCTCATGTCCTTCACCAGGCGCCTCCCCTACACTTGGAAGTATCTCCAGTCTTGGCCTCCATTCTTGGGAGTGTGAAAGTTGGAGTGTAGCGTCTGAGGAGAGAGGAGGGTCACAGTGTGAGATTCCTGGACTGATTTTCCTTTGGAGGGGAGTTACGTGACTCCTGGTACAAGGGCAACCCTGTTGCTTTGGTGTCAGCAGCAGTTTAGAGGAGGCAGAGCCACCGGTTTTGAGAACCAGATTTGAGAGAGGGACCTGGCCAGGGTGGTGCATTGTCAGGTGTTTCTGGGCTTGACCCATGCTGGAAGCCGATGGCCTGTTGCTCCAGCACTGAGCCCCAAACTCCTTGGCCTCGCTGGAAGGCCCCTTTGTAGACCAGGGCTGCAGAGCCTTCCCCCCTCTTGGTTCCCATGGGTTTAGGGCCTCGTGGGGAGTTCCAGGACTTACTTCATGCTTGGGAACGCAGGAGTGGCGCTTCTCATTTATTCTTAAAGCTACTGCAAGTTAAAGTAAAATTCAATAACATTTTCTGACCAAGAGACATGTTTCGTTAAGCAACAAAATGGTACATATGGGTTCACAGTAACATATAGTAAATGTTCTATATACTGAATAGAGCAACATATACATCTGGGGTTTGGGCGTGTGGTTATTTATGGCGTGTTGGACTATTTAGGAATAAGGAAAATGTGGCTTATCACTTAACAGAAAGAAGAGCCAGCAGCTGTCCTGTTTTCACTCAGAAGCATGTTCATTTATGTAGATGCCACTCTAAGCTTTATCAGAATTAAATGTGAGATCTCTTCTGTGAGCCTCGCAGTGATTTCTGTGTGAGGGGCATATACACACATAGCTCCTGCCCTCCAAGTGGAGGGCTAGAAAAGGGAGACAACCAAATGAGATGGGTGGCTGCTTTGTACCCACTTCGGTTTCCCTGTCATCCTCAGCTGCGCTGAAATGGACATAGCACACTAGGCCCCTGCAGGCACATGTAGACTCCTTCCACCCTTTCCTTCGAGGAAATGCCTAGCCCTGGGCAGAATGTAGTTCTGTCTTACCTGTTGCCAGGTGAGAATATGAAGAGGTCTCATGATTCACCCACATCCTCACACAGTTAGCAAGGGTCAGAAGGTCAGATTGCGGCTGGGCATGGTGGCTCACACCTGCAATTCCAGCACTTTGGGAGGCCAAGGTGGGCAGATCACTTGAAGTCAGGAGTTCGAGACCAGCCAGGCCAACATGGTGAAACCCTGTCTCTACTAAAAATACAAATATTAGCCGGGCATGGTGGCGGGCGCCTGTAGTCCCACGTACTCAGGAGCCTGAAGCAGGAGAATCACTGGAACCCAGGAGGCAGAGATTGCAGTGAGCTGAGATTACACCACTGCACCCCAGACTGGGCAACAGAGCAAGACTCTGTCTCAAAAAAAAAAAAAAAAAAGGTCAGATGGAGATTTTCTTTTTTTCCTTTTTTTGAGATAGAGTTTCGTTCTCGTTGCCCTAGCTGGAGTGCAATGGCGCGATCTTGGCTCCCTGCAACCTCCACCTCCCAGGTTCAAGTGACTCTCCTGCGTAAGCCTCTCAAGTAGCTGGGATTACAGGTGTGTGCCACCACACCCAGCTAATTTTTTTTGTATTTTTAGTACAAACGGGGTTTCACCATGTTAGCCAGGCTGGTCTCAAACTCCTGAGCTCAGGTGATCTGCCTGCCTCAGCCTCCTAAAATGCTGGGATTACAGGCATGAGCCACTGTGCCCCGCCCAGGTGGGGATTTGCTAACTCCCCTGGTGGGAAGGTCATGGGGGCGGCCTGGCCCACACTGGCCCACTGGTTCTGACTGGGACACATGTTATTGAGATAGTGCCTCTCTTAACCACCTGACTTCGGAATGGATTGAGAAAAAGAGTCAGCAGGGGTCCAAATGATTACTTTTTACTGATAGAGGCTGGCTGCAGTCAGGACAAATGCACTTGCCCACAGAACTACAGAATGAAGGACCTCAATCCCCAGTTACAGGCAAGCTGCAGAGGCCCGCCCTTCAAGGCAGCAGAGACTGCTGGCAAGAGGGTGAGGCAGAGACACATGCTGTCTGTGGGTGGGCATCCCCAGGCCTTCTCCCCTAGTTTAGTAATACACTGAAGTCCCTGCCCCTTCCCAGGGGCCGAGCGGGGTCAGGGTAGGCTAGTTGGCCTCCCTTCCTAGGAAGAACGCATCAGGGATGGAGGAGAAGGGTTTCCCACCAACACAGCCTGAGCTGTGCAGTGGGAAAATGAGTTACTAATGAGTCAGGGAGGGCCACAGTTGTAACCACAGGTGCCACATGGGCAGTCCCAACCCCACAGGCCGTAGAGAGTCACTGGGGGCCCAGGAACGAGCACTGGAGGTGGCTTGAGTGATGACCAGGGACAGCTGCTGTGGGGCCTGCCAAATACGACAAGGTTCTCAATTTCTTGCTGAAAGTGAGAAATCCAGCAATCTTGGGACTTTTTTCCAGGCATGCCGGGAAAGAGGAGAGAACAAGGGGTTTCCCTCTAACCTGATAGAGCAATGACTGGTATTTATACAGTTTAGAAACAAGGAGATGCCAGTTACATTATCAGGAGGACAAGTTATCATGTCACAAATCAAAATTCAGGTTTCTTCTTAAGAACATTTTCACAGGACATAGCACAATTTCTTTTTTGGGGGACGCAGGGACAGTTTCTTTTTGAGACGGAATCTTGCTTTGTCACTGAGGATGGAGTGCAGTGGTGTGATCTTGGCTCACTGCAACCTCTGCCTCCTGGGTTCAAGCAATCCTCATGCCTTAGCCTCCCAAGTAGCTGGGATTACAAGTATGCACCACCATGCCCAGCTAATTTTGGTATTTTCAGTAGAGACGAGGTTTCACCATGTTGGCCAGGCTGGTCTTGAACTCCTGGCTTCCAGTGATCTGCCTACCTTGGCCTCCCGAACTGCTGGGATTATAGGTGTGAGCCACTGTGCCCTGCAGGACTTAGCAACAATTTCTAAAGGAGTCTTTTTTTTTTTTTTTTGAGATGGAGTCTTGCTCTGTTGCCTAGGCTGCAGGATCTCAGCTCACTGCAACCTCCGACCCCGGGTTCAAGCAATTCTGGTGCCTCAGCCTCCCGAGTAGCTGGGACTACAGGCATGCCCCCACCAACACCTGGCCTCAGATGCTGGGATTATAGGCATGAGCCACCATGCCCAGCCTAAAGGAGTCTAAGATTCTTGTTCTCATTATACTTCCAGGGATGGGGTAGGCCTATTCCAGAATAATTGGCTACAGTCATGAACACCCTCCCAAGTGTCCCTGTTGCACAGAACAAGATGGATATTCCCGGTTTTGCTCTCAAGTTAGCCCTTTATTAATTCAGAGTAGTTGAACAAGTTTTACATGCAAAGAAAGCTCCGTTGCTGTAGCTACAGAGAAGGGGATATATGCCCTTCATCTATCTAAACTCTTTTGTTAATTACGAAGACTTTGCATTTTTAAGGCCTGCTTCTGGAATTTCGTTAGTTAGCATTAAAAACAAAATGCAAGGCTTTAGACTTCTATGTTACTGGCAGAAACGAAGAAGGGGACAAACAGGATGACATTCAGTGAAGTGGGGTGCATAAGGAGCTATTCTTCCACAGTACCCCCTTTTGCTGCCATTAGCAATATTTTAGCTCTAGATGCTCATCTGCATTCAATCCTTCTGATTTTCAGATTTTCTTTCAGTCTTCACCTAAATACACAATGTACAATATTTGATATTGTGATAATCTTTTAAGATCACATCTATACAACATTTTGTAAGTAATGTCACAACATATAGGCAATTATTTTTCCCAGCGAGCCCACCCCTAGCATCTGTGGGGCCTAGGGCAAGACTACAAATAGCTATATGTCTAAATATTTAAAAACTTACAAACTGTTACATAAAATATTTATATCCATTTACCTGGACAAATACACCTTCAGAAAACAATTCAAAATTATGAATAAAACTATGACTTTAATATAGCTGAAAATTGGCAAAATATTAAAGATAACTAAATTTAATTTTTATTGTGTACCTCTGGGTATTGTTGATGGGCCGCTAATGCTTGGATGGGTAATGAAGACATATATAATCCATAAATTACATTATCTCTTCCATAAATGTTTGTCTTGTCTTCATTTCAGAATGACTAATGCAGATTTTCACACAATTGCATTCTATTGACAATAGTGCCAAATTAGACAACCTTTCCTGTCAGTACACTTTTGGATAATTTTAGTTATTCCAACTGGGAGAACTTGACTCTGCTGAGTGGTAACAAATTATGAATAAGATTCTTAAAGCTTTATATTGAGAACTAAACTGACTATTGATATCATGTTTGAACTCTGTAGGAGGGGCACATATGCAAAATTATCATGCTTGCAGAAAATATTACACAATATATTTTCATTATGTTATTATTTCACCATTATTATCGTTTCTTACATTTAAATCCATATAAGATTTCTTCTTTTTTACATTGCTAGGGAATTATTATGAAGACAACTGAAAACTGCGGTAGGTAGGTTACTCACTGAATCTCTCTCTTCAGTAGAATCCATATCTTGATCTACCATAGCAAAAAAACAGTCGCTACAGAAGTTAGTTTCAGAATCATTCCTACATAAATGTTTTCTTCAGACTCCAGCAAACGCTTCTAGTTCCAGTTTTCTTAAATTTTACTTGAATGTTATCATAGTGTTTATTTCATATGCAGTTACTTTTGGGAAACCATTTTCTCCTAAAACTTTACGCAATATTTTAAAACCCTTTGAATTTTTTTTTTTTTTTTTTTGGATAGAGTCTCACGTTGTTGCCCAGGCTGGAGTGCAATGGCACGATCTCGGCTCACTGCAACCTCTGCCTCCTGGTTTCACGCAATTCTCCTGCCTCAGCCTCCGGAGTAGCTGGGACTACAGACACACACCACCACATTTCGCTAATTTTTTGTATTTTTAGTAGAGACGGATTTCACTATGTTGGCCAGACTGGTCTTGAACTAGTGATCTGCCTGCCTCAGTCTCCTAAAGTGCTGGGACTACAGGGATGAGCCACTGCGCCCGGACAAATCCTTCTGGATTCTTTAAAGCTTTTTCTAATAGTAATAACTGGACAGCTCAAACACAAAATTAACTCCATTTTCTGCCAAAGACCACAATTTGCTCTTTGAATGTTACCTATTATTTCACTTAACTCTTGTAATCTGTTAATGTGTCTAAAATAAGTCAAATAGCTTTAACAGCACTCATGGGATTACCATCATTGTATCTGAGACTAACCACAGGTCAAATTCCAAATGCTTCAAGATGTTCCATCTTAGACACCTCCAGAAACAAAAACAACCCAGTATGTCGTCTTTGAAGTGATCCAACAAATCAAATGCCGTTGCTCTAAGCACCGTGGAGGTTATGTCTACTAGCAATGAAATCCAACTGTTTGCTAATTCTTGGGCCCCTCTTACCCAGGTCTAAGAGTGCTTCTGGTTTCCATTAATGCTAAAATGCCATCCTTACTTCTCAGTTCGCCAAAGGAGCAAGTCCCAGACCTCAGCCTGCGGCAACTTGGCAACATTCCTACAAATGTGGCTTGACAAACCAAGAATAAATTCTGGTGTCTCAGGAACGGAGACGAAGTACCTCTCGGCCTAGAGAAGGGTCACAGAGGGCCCTGTAACGCAGCAGCATGTGAAAAGCTGCGGGCTGGTGGCGCAGGCAGGTGGCACAAGCAGACCTTCTCTCGCATGGAGCAAAATCCGCAAACCTTTGGGAGAAGGGTGGCCATCCTGTCGTCCCCGAAGTACAGGCGAAGGCCCGCTGTGGCTGGGGTGAAGGACTCCAGCTGGGCATGATTGGAGCCCGCAGGCAAAGCTGGGCCGGCTTCCGAGTCCGCGCCCCTGACCCCACGGAAAGGTGCCTCTCACATACTGGAGGCTCCAGGAGTGGGGCGCGCATTTCGGGTCTAGGACACGGGCCCCGGGCGGGAACCGAGGGAAGCAGTTGTGGCAGGTGAGAGGGGCAGCGGAGAGGCCCGGGAGGCGAAAGGAGAACGCAGCGCAGGCCCGAGGGGCGCCACAGGCCAGGTGGGCCTTGGAGGAGCAAGGACAGGTCCTGAGACCCCTCTGGGCAGACACATCGCTTCCTGTGTGAGGGGGCGACGTTCCAGTGGGGTGGCGCGGGAGAGCGGGTGGGGGACTTCGGGTGGGAGACTGGAGGCACCCTCGAGCCCCTCAGCTATCAGGGGACCTCCAGCCTGCGACCTCGACCCTGCCGAGCCTGGTGGAACACTCAGAAAGAAGCTGAGCGCCTCGGGGCGGCGAGGACAGGGCCCAAGCCCGCCGCTGGCTCCAAAGTTCTGGGGGTTCCCCCCGCCCAGAACCCGCGCAGGAGCACACGGGGGCCGGAAAAGCGAAATGAAGGCGGAAGACGACACCGAAGCCCAGCTCCCGGCGCCGCTCCTGCGTCTGCGTCTGCGCCTGCGCCTGCGCCTGCGCCGGGATTGGCCGAGCCGCCGCGGGGCGGGGCCGCGCAGGCGCCATGGACGCGGAGCCGTGCGGCGCAGGCGACTGTGAGTTCGGTGCCGGACCTGACTGGAGCGTGGCCGGAGCGATCGTGCTGTAGGCCGGCCCCTCGCTGCTTCCGGGCGCCTTCCGCTCGCCGGGACTGAGTCCGCGCCGGCGTGGCCTGCTGAGTTCCGAGCACTGGGGGTCCGCGCGGCCGCTCTCGGCTTTTGGGACGAGACGGAGGAGCTGGGTGTCGGCCTCGCGGGACGATCCCCCGCTGACCTCGGGCAGCGCTGGGGCGAGGGGGGGCGCGGAGGCTTCGGGGACCACCAGCGCTCCCGGACCCGCTCAGCGGTCACTGCTCACAGGCGCCGCCCCCAGGAGCCTTGGCGGGGACCTAGGACGCCCCGGTGTGCAGAAGAGAAGCGGGATCAGGTTCACGCAGACCCACGATCGGATCCTTTTTTTTTTCTTTCTTTTTTTGTGAGGCGGAGTCTCGCTCTGTCGCCCAGGCGCGATCTCGGCTCACTTCAACCTTCGCCTCCCGGGTTCAAGAGATTCTCCTGCCTCAGCCTCCCGAGTAGTTGGAATTACAGGCGCCGGCCACCATGCCCGGCTAACTTTTGTACTTTTCGTAGAGACGTGTTTTGCCATGTTGGCCAGGCTGGTCTCTAACTCCTGACCTCAGGTGATCCGCCCGCCCCGGCCTCACAAAGTGCTGGGATTACAGGCGTGAGCCACCATGCCCGGCCGGCCGGATCGTAAAGTCATTGGTAGCCCAGGATTCCTGGAGTTGCATCTGGGGTCACTCAGCGGCAAAACCCATACCACTTGATTGGCCTTTACACACCAGGCCCAGGTCAGGCGAGGGGAGGTCACAGCCAGGAGCCCGGGGCCAGCTGCTAATGTTGTACTTGACTTCATAGTCAAGGAGCTGGGTAATCGGCAATATCGTAACTTTTGGTGAACCCGTCAGATGGCAACCATTTAGCCAGAAATGTAAGGAAAGAGAGGCCTCCAAGACCCAACAGTGAACATGAGAAGGGGGTTCCATACCAGCAGTTAAGAAGACAGTTTTAATGAAGTGCTGTATACCATGTGTGGACTAGTGTGAGGGCATAGAGCTTTTGAGAAACAGGAGAGTTTGCACCCACACTGGGCTCTTTTCCACCAGCATTCACTGGGGGCTGGTGGTTAAGACTGAGGCAGAGCAGGAGGCCAGAGGGCTTTGGCCGTCTTGCAGCCTTGGAGGAAGAGATGGCTGCTCCAGCTGGATCCTGTCTGGATCCTCTCTAGCAGTACAAAAACCTTAAACCACTGGGATATGGGTCCCAAATCCTGTCACTGTGGGCACCGGTAAAAACCTGCTTCAGCTGGGGATAGAGAAAAGGGATCCCCCAGGGCATAGTGCGGAGGCAGAAAACTGTCTTAGGACTATATCATAGGGTCTTCGCAGCTGAGGAAGTGGCAGGATTCCTGAGAAAGCCTGTGACCCAGGGACACGCATCTCTTGATCTTGCAGATGGCATCCCATGCAGAGTGCAGTCCTCTGGGAGTGTTTGAGTGTGAACTCTGTGCCTTGACAGCTCCCTATAGCTACATTGGGCAGAAGCCCCCCAACACCCAGTCGATGGTGTGAGTACGTGCCCTTTGGGCCAGTGCTAGGGAAGCCTGTGCCCAGTGCTGGTTGGTGGGTGCTGGGCCTAGGTCTGACACCAGCTTGGGTGTGGCTCTTTAGGTCCCACCCTGCCCAGGCTCTGGATACTTCCACTGTAATCTCTGGAGGCCTGGGCAAAGCTTGGGGTGTGTCTGACTCTTCTAGAACCTTCCTCCACACCTAACCCAGAGTCCAACACCTGCTGTAGCTGTGGGGAAGCAGCTCAGCAGCCGTGAGGAGCTGTGGTGGCCTCCCCATTTGGGGCTGTGCCCTTGCCATGGCACTTTCTTAGTGGGAGGCCCGTCGTCCTTGCAGACGTGGACTAGAGCCAGTGGGTCCAGGGGCTTATCTCTTGACCTCCAGCTTGTCCTTCATCAAATGCCACTTTGTTGGAAAGCTGGCTGGTGTGTTACTCACACAAATGGGATGCAGTGGTGGGGCATGGCTTTTTCCTCCTGGCTGTTGTCCCTCTGCTGACTGGGAGCCTGACTGTCATCATGCCACCCTGTGGTGTCATTCTGATGTGTGGCAGGATGCCACCTGGCCTCCAGGGACTGTGAGGGTGTGTTCTCCCTCGTGGAAGCAAGTGGCTTGGGGTGTAGGGGAGGCCTGGCGTGCTTAGATGGTGGCCTTGTGCCCCACCCTGGGGAATCAGTCAGGGCCTGGGGGCTCATGTTGGAGCAGCCCTTCTTTTGGCTGAGAACAAGGGTTTCTCTCTACCACAGCTGTTAGAAAGGTGAAAGTGAAAACAGGTCCAATTTCAATGCCAGTGTGGTCCCCAATTGCTGATCCTGTCACTGTCCTGCAGCGCCCCTGCCCCCCTGAGCCCGCGCAGGTGTGCAGGCCCTGCGGAGGTCCAGGCTGCTGCTGCACGGCCATTGCTCATGGCTGATTTTCCGACAACAGAGATTTGGGCGGTTCTACAGCTGGCATCTCTCTCCTGCAGCCTCCTGGAGGAAAGCTATGTCATGAAGGACCCCTTCACCTCTGACAAGGGCAGATTCCTGGTCCTCGGCTCGCATTGCAGTTTGTGCAGCAGGCTGGTGTGTGTGGGCCCGGTGGGTAAGCTGCGTGGGCTGGGGCTGCCTGTCTTTGCTGGGGTTATCCCAAAGCTCTCCCTGGGTAGGGTGGCCTGGGAGGGAGGCACCAGCTGGTTCACCTCATTATAGATGGGGCCCCGCAGCTGATGAAGGGGATAGGCGAGAGGGCAAGCTAGGGTCAGTTAGAGGGTCTCAGCCTGGTGTAGGAATGGCAATAGGTTCTTGGCTCTGCGCCCACCCCAGTGACCCCCAGGGTTCCTCCCCTTCCCACCAGCAATGCAGATGGTCCTTGTGCTCCCTCTCACCAGGGACGGTGACTTACCTTCTATGTGTTCTTGGAGGGCCCTTCCAGAAGAAGGGACTGTCCTTTCTTGAGCACCTGTGTGCCAGGCCCTGTGCCTGGGACCTGTTTTACTGCTGAGGCTTCATTCAGTCCTGCCCCTAACTTGTCAGGTAAAGCAGTATTGTATTCCACCCATTTTATATATGAGGGAACTGAGATTCCGAGAGGCTGGTGGGGCTGGGTAGCTGAAAACCTGAGGATGCATGGAAGTGGAGCAGTGTGGCCTTCACAGCGTGGCCAGTGTACCTGGAGTGATCCTGGAGTCTGAGAAGTCCCTGAGCATCAGCCACAGGGTGACATGCACACAGGCGAGGTGTGTCAGCAGCCAGGGGGACCAGGTGGGCCAGGGCGGGAGGAGCCTCTGCAGTGCAGTGCAGGGAGTGTCTGAGGCACATGGAGAGGCTGGTGGTCCAGGAGAAGCTGGGAAAGGAAGACTGGGAAGGTGGGTGGACCAGGCGGGGAGGTCTTGAATGCAACACCTTGGCTTTGGGCTGCTCTTCATGATTAGTGGTTGCGGGTCAGGAAGGGGGACACACACAGGTATCACAAGTCTGCAGCTTGCTTTGTTTCAACAGTAGGTTGTTAATGAGCGGATCTCCATGGCAAAGGGTCTTTTCTAAGAGCCGCAGGAGGGCAGCCTGATGTTTGCGAGCAAGCTAAACTTTAGGCACAGACAGACACCAAAAATGAGAGTGGCCTAAGTAAAGCAAATCGTTACTTACTTTCTCCTATTTAAGAGTCCAGAACTGGTGGTCTTGGCTGGAAAGGCACCCCTGCTGTCTTCAGCAGAGTCTCCATTTGGGTCCCTTGTGGCTGTGGCAGCTCCCAGCATCATCTCTGCATCCCAGCCAGCAGGAAGGGACATGAGAGCACAGTCCACTCCTTCAAAGGGCATGACCAGGAGGTGGCACACACAGTTGCTGACACCCCTGACCAGCCTGAGTCACATGGCAATGCCCAGTTGCAGAGGGGGCTAGGGAATGTCATCCTTAGCCACGTGTTGTGCGCCGTGATGAATCTCGGAAGTTCTAGTGTATAAGAGAGGAGAGCGTCATGGCCGGACAGTGACTAGCTAGCTCGTCCACAGCCTCTTTGGTCTGCAGGGCTGTCCTTCCTGTCCCCTGCTGCTCCCAGCACCAGTGGCCACTGTTCCTGCTGCAATAACTGGGAGGGGAGGACTGGGATTTCCGGCTTTTGAGCACGGCCTGTGCTCCCGCTTTCCATTGTCACTTCACCGTGACGGAGCAGAGCAGGCTCCAGAGTCTTTCTGTCCCATCCCAGCTGTTCCCTCCAGGGTAGCCCAGGCTTGCACTGCTTTTCTCCAGGACACCCCGCCAGGCCCTGAGTCCCAGCTCTCCCTCCTGCTGGTCTAGCTCTGGCTACGTGCCCACATTGCATGCTGGGGCCCCAGCCCAGCCTCCTGAGTGTGGGAAGAGCTGGCCCCTGGGAGGAGCTGCACCGTGTTCCCAAGATACTCAGCCTCCATCCTTGTCCCCTTCTTTCAGGAGTGCAGTTTATTCTACTCCAAGAGATTCTGCCTCCCTTGTGTCCAGGAGAACATCAGTGCTTTTCCTCAGGAAATTCAGCAAGACTTGGAGAAAAGGAAAGCTCTGTCAAAGAGGCCCCCTAGCCAGCCTGGTTCTCGGACGTGAGTGCAGCTGGGGCCGCACTCACCCTGCACAGGGCTCCTGGGCCAGCCTGCGCCAGGGATGCTGCTGAGCTGGGAGCCGCCGTGCCTGGCCTTGTTCTGGACCATTGGGAGCAGCACTGTAGCCCAGAGGAGCTGGAGCCCAGCTTGGAGCAGCCACAGGCCCAGGGATTTGTGCCGACAAGGTAGCCCAAAGGCAGGTGCCAGCCCAGACACAGCCAGGAATCCCTGCACACCCCTCAGCGCCGAGGCCTGAGTGAGTGCTGCTCAGATGCGACTGAGAGGGATGACCTCCTTCAGTGGGGCAGCTCCTAAGAGGCTACCTGCAGGTGCATGTGCAGGAAGATGCCACGCCGTGTTGGGGCCGGGGCACACCGTAGGTGACTGTAGTGGTCTTTCTGTAAAGAAAATCACTGACAGCAGCTGCCTCTGGAGCCAGCCTGGGAGGTCTAGAGGGTGACAAAATTTTTCCTTCATATCCTTATGTGATGCTTGGAAAATGTTTTTAATCTTAACCATGTATTATGTTTATAATTAAAACCCAGCTAATGTTTGAAAAAGGAATCTTCCACTAAAACGTCTGGATACCCGACATTCTCCCTGGGTACTCTGGGCCTGGCAATGGCCGGGGTCTCCTGGGAAGGTGAGTGCTGGCTTCCAGCCTCTCCAGTTCCCTCAGGCTCTGGCTTCAGCTCGGGCCCCTGCATTCTGTCTCCCACAATCCCAAGTCAGGAATGCTGTGGACTTCCTGTCCTCACCTCGCACCTCAAGACCATCACGCTGCCTGCCTGCTTGCCTCCTGCCATCTCGAACACAGTCCTGGGTGCCTGCAAAGCCCGGCCCCACTGCCTGCTGGGAGTGCCTGCAGCACCCCCTCCTCCAGACTCCCCATCTCCCCGGGGCTTCTAGGGTAGCAGTTGGCGGGGCACTGGTCTGTGCTCTCTGGAATGTCTGCTTAGAGTTCTGAGAGGCAGGAGCTGCTCTGTCGTTAAAACTACTCCAGGCCAACTGTCACGTGATGAAGGGATGAATAAAGAGTTTTTGCTGACTTACGTTTGCACCGATGTATTTTAAGATGCCCGCTGCTTTCAGAAGTTTCCCGTTGTATGTGACTTCAGAGGAAAGGATGTCGTGTTCCGGATCCACATTGTCCTAGATCCATTCTGTACGCTTAAGGACACAAAAGGGACTCTGCAGATGGAGAGCACCTCCATGAAGGGCGCAGGGGCTGTTCTGGCAGAGGGCAGACCACACAGCTGGGGACTCAGCTCTTTCAGACCAAACCACCCATCCCGCAGCATCACTCAAAACTCACCAGCACATTTTAAAAAATAGTTTATTTTTTAAAACCATTAAGGCAAAACTGTAACCCTGAAATTAACTCTGTACATTCATCAGTCTTACAGTAGGACATCCCAAACACAGAAGTTCCCATATGGTCAGGATAGAAATCAATACATGTGGTCAGTTCAGTCTCCTAAGAGGAAAATGAAGACCCAAGATTTTTTTAAAAATTAAGGTTATCTTATGGCCATTTTCTAATTGCCTGGAACCAATAAGTTCATGTGACTAGAAAAATTAAATTTGCCCTTCTCTGCACACCCTTGATTCCTGAGGTCCTGGATGCCCACTCCCCCCACCAGCAGAGAGGTATGATGGAGAGAAGACGCTGGAGCCGGCGCGGCAGTTCCTGCTTTGGAACTGCACCTGTTCAGCATAAATAAGAAGCTGTAAGCCCCGAAATACTGAGAGTATAAGGCACTCATGAATAGTAAGGGCATGCGTGGAGAGAGCCCAGTCCTTGCCTGGGATCTGTACCGTTCTTGTGTGTGTCTGTCCACCCTCTCCCCTAGGGTTGTAGCATGATGACATTATGGATCCCAGAGGGCGTTACCAATATGCACGTTACAGGAAACAAGGTATGGGGAGACTCACGGGGTCTGTGGTTTCTGCTTTACGCTTTGGGTTGGGCCACCTGGAGGATGTCAGAGAACAGGCACGTGCAAATAATTTCCATCAGGACATTTCCAATTGCCAAAGTTCTTTGGTAATAACCCATAGATAACAGTTCCCTGAAGAGCAGACAGCTATTTACTAAACAGGAATAGTGAGGGTCTTTAGCCAAACACTGTCGTATGAAATCGGTGGCCTCTAACCTGGAGTCTAAGGCCTTGCTGGTGGAGGTGACTGGAGATAGACTCTCTTGTGCTCTATGCATGCCCAGCATGGTAAAGGGAAGAGATTTCCACATTGGAAGTAAATTCTGCATGGCTCAGGTGAAATGGGAAGCTGTGTGCGCCTACACGTGCGCAGTGTATCTTAGTTGTTTGATTTCAGTTTCCTTTGTGTTTCCAATAGGTTCAAGAGCCAGGCTTTTTAAGAATATGAGTCAATTAACACGGATTTCAAAAGAATCCAAAGGTTTGTTATTAGATGAATGATCATAAGTTAGTAAGATATTTGTATTAGGATGCTTTTCGAAAACTCAAATCACAGTATTTAAGATATAGCTACTAACATAGTTCTTTTTACCACACAATGTAGAAAAAGTAAAGTGATATTTAACATGAACACTGTAATCTTAGCAAAAAGAGCACTACATGGGATTCATCTCTTGTGAGGTACATGAAAAAGGAACTGACTGAGTCTTTCAAAAAGTGAAGTTGCCAAAAGTGAGTGATTTTACCGTGAAACAATCATACAGTCGCTCCTCTTCGGGGCTGGAAGGCTGACCCCCTCTGACTTGAGGCAAGCCCAGGGGTCCGGGGAAGGTGCCCGAACGTGTCTCCCGGGACTGCAGCATCCCCTCCACACCTGGGTCACCACTCTTCCTGGGAGCCAGGGTGCGTAGGCTGGGGGCCTGTTTGTGCGCCAGCTTGCATGGCACTTTATCAGTTCATTAAATGAATGAATTTTTGCTGCTGGGTGTGGGCAGAAGAGCGGCTAGAAAAGAGGCAGCAGGTACACATCCTTCTCACATTTGACCCAAACTGCAAACTTAAAAAAAAAAAAAAAAAAGCTGACCCCCCCCGGTCTTAGTTTGCTGTCTCTGACGTAAAAATCAATTTTTCTTTTCGTTTTTTTTTTGTTGTTGTTGCAAATAGTCCCTCCGACAGCCACGAGGACCACTCAAGTACTTGAGGTCATCAGCTGCTTCCATCGGGACGCGGCATTAACATGGACGCGGTCTGGTCTGTTTTTGTTGGCAAAGGACTCCGGAAGGATGTCATTGTACGTGTTTCAGCTGAACCACATTCTATAGCTCCTCCCCCTCACAAAAGGGGTTGTCTGGGGGGAGAAAAGTAACTGATCATACCTGTCACATCTCAAACTGAAATTTTGAGAAGCAAATGGTCGGTTGACAGCTCCATTCCAGATCTGTAGAGATGTCCTCAAATAACGCAGAGCTGGCAAAAGGCGGAGCAGGCGGCAGTCCTGGGCACCAGCCCCTCTTCCTGTTCTCATAAGAGGGCCACACACATGGCTTTTTGTGATAAGCTTCCAGCCCATGCCACTGAAATAACGTTTAAGAACCTGCTGCATTTCACAGAAATAGCACAATGGAAATCATTATGTAATTAAACAAACCATGAAGCTCATCATATTTTTAACAAAACTTCTAATTTCACGTTTTAGTGTGTATTGTGGTTTCCAGAGAAATATATGGATCTCCTATATTCTGAGTCAGATCAAATGTATTGCCTTTATTCTTTTTTTTTTTTTTTTTTTTTTGAGATGGAGTCTTGCTCTGTCACGCAGGCTGGAGTGCAGTGGCACTATCTTGGCTCACTGCAACCTCTGCCTCCCAGGTCCAAGCGATTCTCCTGCCGCAGCCTCCCAAGCAGCTGGGACTACAGGCATGCGCCACCACGCCCAGCTAATTTTTGTATTTTTAGTAGAGATGAGGTTTCACCATTTTGGTCAGGCTGGTCTTGAACTCCTAACCTCGTGATCCACCCACCTCAGCCTCCCAAGGTGCTGGGATTACAGGCGTGAGCCGCTGTGCCCAGACTGTATTGCCTTTATTCTTACCCCAGTCTATGGGGTCAGTGACCATTTTCCTGAATGCTGTCAAAATGGCACCTAAAAATGTATAAATCCTAGCAAAAACTTAGACCTCAACCGTTGGGAGCCCAATCTTAGATCTTTCTAGGCAGAAGGCCTCTCAGAAGAATGCATGCCCTGGGTAGGGGCCACGGACTCGGAAGCAGGAAGGCCACTGGATGATTTTATGGCATCGAATAATCCCTTGGTGAGATGTGCCTTGGTTGCCCTCGGCACAGTCAAGGGAGGTTAATTGGCATTTGTTTGCCACAGCCCTTCATTGCTCTGTAAAGCTGCACCACAGCCGAGTGGCCCTTCCAGCCCTTCTGCCGCAGATATCTGTGGACATTTCACTTCCAGACTGGGATGTCCGAAGGTGGGCTTGAATGACAGCTGCCATCATTGTCACCATCAGGGAGATACACACAGCCCCCTTTGCTCGGTGTAAAGATGTGGTTGGTAAGAAATTTCAGTGTGGCTGAACAAGTCAGCGTGGACCGAGTTAAGAGAAACTGGGTCACTTTTAACATGAGAAGAGTGAATACTTCCCCATGCTTGGCAATGCCAGTGCGTAAAAATGGGAAGTGTTGACACAAACTTCCTGTGGACGAGAGGTTCCCGTGGACACTTGTTAATGCTCATGAGCCCTCAGGTGGTGGCATCAGTCTTCATGGGTGATTTCTATGGACAACATAATTTCCTTGCCTCTCCTGAATCTACAGTGGTGTCTGAACGTGAAAGAATGTCTAGAAAGTAATCTCTCAGGAACGCTGCATCAGGCCAACCATGTTAACTGCAGAGGACAGTTAACTGCAGAGGACAGTTAACCATGTTAACTGCAGATGTCCCTGGTAGTCTTGCTGGCCATGGGATGGGAGCTGAGGGCAAGGCTGCAGGCCTCTGGGTCACCTGTCCTTACACTCACCAGGTGTAAGTGTCCGGAAATAACAGGGAGGCAGCAGGAGGTGGAGAAAGTGCACCGTGACCGGGACCCAGCGGCCAGCAATGCCGGGCAGGCGCTACATCTGGAGGCTGATTTGCTGTTACAGCTTCAAACAGCTGAAGAGTAGAGGAGAACACAGGAACCTGCTTTGAAAGCTGCTCAGAGCCATGGCATCCATGGGGGATGAGCTGTGGGCACCTGGCACATTATCCTGTTGGCATCTGCTTTTTGAAAGGCCACACTGTTAATGAGGTACCAGCTGGTGAAGGTGGCCAGCTCTCCCTAGGCTCCAGGAAGCCCCCCACCAAAGGCCAGGCTGGCAGTCAAGCCAGCCTTAGCTGGGTGCACTGGGCTTGCTGGGTTGAAACAATGAATCCATTTTAAAACTGGAGTTCATTGAGACATTCTAAAGACAGGTGTGGCCACTGGATCAGAACCAAAAAACCTTCCGTCATGTATGTGGCTGGTAAGTATCAAATGTGCCTGGAGTCACAGTGGTTTGAAAATGCGACTTTGAGGGGAGAAGTGCTTGGAATCAAACACAGAGAGGCACAGGTGCAAGCTCGGAGGACTCAGATTTTTGGAAGTCACGGTTTCATCCAGGCTTGCTTTGATGCACGTTTCCTTCCACGTCTGGTCTGCATGGCCAGCAGGAAGAGACGAAGAGGAGAGGGCATGCTGGGGGCGGGTGTGGTCCCTGCAGGCTGGGACCATCGGCCGCTTCTCCTAAGCCCAGGTCATGCGCAATGTCAGTTTTATCAAACTGGGGCAGCACCTTTTGCAGGTGAGTATCTTCAAGCCTCCCTTTCAACAACCAAAGTTCCTTCCGGACGTCATATGAGCTGCCGCTCCACTGTGTGTCGGCAGGCTCAGGCGTGCGCACCCGAGGAGTCTGTGTCCCACCTGCCCTAACTACAGAGGCCGCAGTGCGGGTGGGTGCCTCAGCCCAGCACGGCCTTTCGCAGGACCCGCTGAGGTATTCGTTACATTATCCATTGCCGGGAAGTGGTTGCAAAGCTGTTGACTTTTCATGGTTTGGGATATCTTTCACTGTGCCTTGA